TTGTAAGTCCGCAGACACACCGCTGTGCCACTGGGGGCGCTCGGTGTAAATAACTGACCTGAAATATTAGGTAAAATCACTCATTTTCTATGTGAAGTACATGTTGTACACCAGAAACAATTAGTGGGTTGAATTACAATATTAGTTGAATTTTCCATTAATGTTTGAGTGACTCATGTGTTATTAGTGGACCTGTTACCAACCAACAAAGTCGTGAACCCATAATCAATTCGATGCGTATAAATAGTTTAGAAAACAAGCGTTAAAAACAGAAATACCCATGAGGTCAAAAACGAACCCCCATGAATCGGTGATACAAGGTTTAAAGAAATGCCCAGTTAAAGTAATGAATAAGGAAACTAACCATCAAAAACAAAACTCTGGAGTTCCTAGTGTTTTCTTGTTGCATTAAATAGTTGAAGCAACAATAAATAAAGTGTTAAGTGGCTGAAATTTCAAGTCAAAACCTATTAATAAAACCATAAAAACAACTCAGTATAAATAATGATTTTGATTAACCAAATCTAAAAGTTTCAGAAATCTGGTTTATAGTACTGAAACACGTAAATACAGCTTCATCGAAGTAAAAATTTTACAATCAATCTAATGAATTATCTATATGAGTGAGAAAAAGACGTGAAGAGATATTCTCCAGAGTATATAAAAATAAAAAGATAACTGTTGGGCAATATTTGAAACGACGAATGATTTGTAACCAGTTGCCAATAATTCCTTAGTATATACCTACCTCAGCAAGATTTAATAATAAAAAAAGGACTCGTTGTTCTATAAATTTAAAATAATATATAATTAGAATTTTTGGAACTCCAGATTTTTTTAATTTCCTTTTTTTTTAATTCTATCGTTTATATGTAAATTTTAAAGAATTGTCATGATAAAAATTTTGGTTAAAATACTCATTTTCAATACAATTTAAGGCATTTTTTTAAATTCTTTACTGAAGATAACTTTACTTGATGGTGGCCCCACAGTGCCACAGCTTTGTGCTTAACTTCAAAACAAACAAACAATACACCGAGCGTTGTGTTAGGTGAAGTCCCCCGGTGGAACAGCGGAAAGTATTCGGATTTACAACGCTCAAATCAGAGGTTCGATCCCCCTCGGTGGACACAGCAGATAGCCCAATGTGGCTTTGCTATAAGAAAACACACACACACAGTGTTAGGTGAAAACGTAAAGTTACTCAGTACGATAAAATATGTGGACCACACCGGTAGTGAACAATAGAAAAATTATCAGAAATTTAAGGCTTAACTAATGAGTTTATTAGTAAAATCACATGGAGTAAAACCTACCTCACTTCATTATTCCAATTGGTGAATGGTTTTGTGTGTGCCAAATAAGAATCTAGTAAGTTATGACCTTAAAAGGCTGTCGTGATCTTTTGATGTTTGAACTATTGCAAGATCTTTGAAGCTTTAGCATGTGGCTCTCTTGTATGTTCCACCAAATGTGCATGCCCTTTCAGCCGTGAGGGCGTTATAATATTACTGTCAATCCCACTATTCGTTAGTGATGACTTGAGACGGCTAGCGCAGATAGCCCTCGTGTAGCTTTACGCGAAATTCAAACCAAACTCCAAACTTTTATATGTTATATTCCATTTATTTCATAATAGTTCAGGTTCGGATGTTGTGAAAGTGGTTATTATGCGTTGCTGTTCCTGTTTTGTTTTTTTTCCCCTTAGTAGTCTCCTGTGGGGTTCATACATTGTTTTTTATGATTCTAGAAACTGGGCATGCAGTGTGTGTGTGTGTGTGTCTATATTCTGTACTGTGTTTGAGCGAGTTGAACCGTTGGTATGCTCGAAATATAATTATACAAATATGTTGTTTCCTCTAGTACATTGGTGAACAGTTGTATTTTAGTATGTTGGTGAAACACATCTCTTGCAGACAGTACTCCGCCATGTGTCTTTTGTCTTAGATAAACTTAACAGTATGAGTATAACGACTACCGTCTTAATATCATATTCTAGCGGACAGCCATTGTTTTAATCTCATACCCAGTTGGCAGCCACGGTCTTAATATCATACCTTGGTTGATAGCTACATTAATGATCTTGTGATCATGTTTATTTGTCTTGATTGAATTGGATTATAAAAAGGATAACATTGATTGCACGACAGTTATAAAAAAAAAAAGATCTATAAAGTTTGAATGCTTATTATTTTCTACTCAAAATAATTGCGATTAACCAACGTAAAAAATACCATTACAGAACATCATAAGACTTTTGTTTGTCGAATTCTGCGCATAGCTGTACGAGCACTACGTTCACTGGTCGTCCTTAATTTTTAAGTGATATACTAGAGAGAAGGCAGCTAGTCAACAACACCCATCGACAGCTTATGGGCTGCTCTAGTCGAATATTGTGATTTGACTGCCACTCTTACAACACATCTACAGTATGGTAGCGCATCTCCCACCCCCTTTGCGGTGACGTGGTACAAGCCACGGAACCTCGAATCAACAGTCAGGCATGCTAACCACTGGGCCACTCTCGGCCCCATTATAATACAAATAGTCAATAAAGTTACTACAATAATACAGCAATTTGATTGTGGTGTAAAACAGTATCATCATTAAATTAAAATTAGCGTACTATTGTCTAAGTAATAGTTAAAGAAGGGAGAGCGCAGCCCAGTGGATAGTGTGCCTGACTATGGAACTGAGGATTTGTGGCTCGCGTCACGTTACTGCCAAACAAAATCGCGTTTCGCACTATGGGACTGTGGGGTGCCTTAAAAGAGTGATCGTTAAAGAAGTTTAAGATATGTATATCCCATAAGATAGTGTATTTTTGCATTATATATTTTGGTAATTAATACATGTTAGCTATGTAACATTTATACATGCGCTTCAAGACTAATGTTGAACATGTTATTAAACGACTTGGCAAATATGTATTAAAGAGCTGAAATTAATAAATTCATACTGTCAAAAGTAGTACAAGAGTTGGCGGTGGATGGTGTTCTCTAGGTGTCTTCCCTCTAACCTATCACTTCAAAATTAGAAACGGCTAACGTGTGTAGCTTTGCGCAAAATCTAACAAAGCAAACAGTTAAAAAATTCAAAAATATGTATACGAAACCCGTAAGCTAGACTGTAATTTTTGCTTTATTTCAGTCGTTACTGCGTAATAAATATGGTTCCAGACGAATTTATATAAATATAATAGTACTGTCTGTTGTATGTCCATGTAACTACT